TCATACTACCCATAGTTTTGTCGAATTAGATTATTTTAAAGTAACAAATAGTAGTGAACATCTTACACACACTGACTTTGCTTCAGCTGTTAGAGATGTCTTAGCTAAAATAGCTACTAATTTCACCCTTTCTTAACTTGAATGGAATACAGTTTTATTCAGATAATTTTTCTAAACCGTCATGCATGTAGTAATGACATTCTTGTTAACGGATCTTGAAATATCTTAAACATGCGCTGATCCTTTTACTTAAGTAAAGGTTAGATACAGCAACAGCTAGAGACTTGTGTCACTTTGGCCCTGTGTCTGTGCCACTCGCCACCCCACTCCCTGTTCCACTGTGTAGCTTTGCGGTTCAACACAAACAAACAGTGTCCACTTCTTGGGAGTGGGGGTGAGCAAGCCTACATCTAGGGAGTGACACAGATACTTGTAGAAGTTGGTATGAGATGTTTGTTTTTCTTCCATGTGTATTTTACTTGAAACAGATGATGACTTGTGTAGCTTTGGATTATAGGATATCGCTCCTTGGTCCATTGTCTGATCTGAAGAGTAATCACAATTCTCGTCCTATGCGGACATGTTTGGAAAGCCCTTTTCCACCCCACCAGTCTATATTGTCAATCTGTGGATTAGAAGCCGATCAGTTTGGTAACTATGGTTACTCGTTTATATTTGTTTTTCCTTTGCTGTCCATTTAAGAATTATTCTTTGCTTAAGAGCCCTGACTCTGCATTTCTGTAAATACTTTAAACTTATATGCTGAATATCACCTTCTCCCAGTGGCTCAGCTGTAAGTCTCAAGGCTTATAACGCTAAAAAGCGAGTTTCGATACCCGTGGTGAGCACAACACAAACAGCCCATTGTGTAGCATTGCGTGTAACTACAAAAAAAAAAAAACGAATCACGGTACCTGAGCATCATTGAGCGAGCAACGGACTACTGCCCTCTGTTGACGTATCTGGAAATCGGTGACGCGAAATTTATGTGTTTGTGACGACATAATGAGTACAGTGTTATAAGTCACACCTTGCAGCTGTTCTATTTTATTGGTACAGAGAGCACCTGACCAACAAAACCGGAGAGGAAGTGACGTGGCAAAAGAGAATGTCGGCCCACACGAAAAGTCTGCTGCTCGTTTAGTTCGTACGAAGTAATCCAAACAAAATAAATAAAAAACAAGAAACGTCTGAAAGATAAAACCGTTTCCGCTGACATGCAAGGAGCTTGTTGTATCTCGAAACAGATAAAATCAGTTTCTTGAAAGTTTGTGAGGAAAACCTTGTTTATAATATAGATACGTAAGATGAAAGTACATACGTGGAGATTTTCGATGTAAAAACAACATCATTTCCTGGACAACTAATCCAATAATATTAATCATCCGAATGTAAGCCTGGTGTCAAAAATCGGAAACGTTGGCAGATTTTTAAATTTTTAAACGTTGATATTATTTTAAGACAAAGTGAAGCTTTCATAAGTAGATTGAAGATATTTATAACATGCATTTTTGTAAAACCAAAATGACATTTATCAACTTGTACATGTTTTTCATCGTCTGGTCAGTATTAATTAAACAAGTGGTACTTGTGGTGAACCGTAGGTGTTAACTGGAAAAACTTCTGCACATAAGGATGAACCATGAACTTCACGTACAGGAACGAATTAGCCCTAATTCGATATATTATACTTGGTAAATTGTGGTTTAGCGGTTTCTTGGATCTCCCACTTCAGTCATCTGACGGATTTCTTCTACGTATACTCTCCTCATAGCTTGATAAACATGCCAAGCTGCTGATCGTAGGGTCCAAGGTTCGAGCCTTCATACCACTGAACACACTCCCCGGCCAGGTTATAAAAGTGGAACTCAATCCAATTATTCAGTTCAAAGAACCGGACAAAGCCCTTGAGATGGTCAGTGCCGCTGGCTGACCACCTTATAACTGGTCAGTTCTGAGTTCAAACTTAGGGACGGCTGTACCTGAATCCTAGGGGATCTTTGACTTTGGACAACTCTTCTGTTACTGATGAAACAGTAGGTTATTAGGATAAGTACTGACCACCTTATAACTGGTCAGTTCTGAGTTCAAACTTAGGGACGGCTGTACCTGAATCCTAGGGGATCTTTGACTTTGTCGTATAATTTATGTGCTCTCTATATAATATATACAACTCTTCTGTTACTGATGAAACAGTAGGTTATTAGGATAAGTACTGACCACCTTATAACTGGTCAGTTCTGAGTTCAAACTTAGGGACGGCTGTACCTGAATCCTAGGGGATCTTTGACTTTGAACAACTCTTCTGTTACTGATGAAACAGTAGGTTATTAGGATAAGTAAGTTGTAAGGAATCTAATAGGAAGTACTTTATTCAAACTTTTGAAAAAAAAATTAATATTCTATAAAACTAAAAATGCTCAATCTGAACCACAGCTCAGTAAATAATAATTAAAAACTTATCTTGTTGAATATTAGATGCTTTGTTGGAAGACCTTCAGGCCGCTGCGACGACGTTAACAAACACCAACTCATCTTGTTTGACACAACCGACCAGTGGTCAGTACAGACCGGCAAATCGACAGTCCCCTTCAAGCAGTTTAAAAGCCTCTTCCATCAGCCTCTGCACAGATAGTCCTAAAAATACCGGTGGTCAATACAGGTCAGTAAATATGCCTCTTAACCCAGGTTCGCATACCACCACCCACACTGTAACAACGCAAAGATACGAGTATCATCATGGCGACGACAAGTCAGATGTAAGTATAAAATAAAATAGTTCGTGTTTTTCCATTCACAAAAAGTTTTTTAAGATAAACAGCATATATCTTACTATGATGGACGTAGCGTGAATATATGTATCTATCTATGTATGTGACCGAAATAATAAATATAATATGGCACCCCAAACAAAACTCTATGAAATAATTTCACACTTTGGGTATTTAAGATACAAACAATTATAAAAATAACTGTGGCCTGTGCAACAACCATTTTTTTATAATAGAACACAATTATAAAAGTAAATGTGGCCTGTGCAACAATCATTTCTTTACAATAAAACACAATTTTAAATAAAAGTATTCTTTTCACAACAAGAACACGACGTTCACTTGAACTGTACGTGAGGGTTTGATTATATCTTTATTGATATAATTTTTAAATGTAGTACTGAGAAACTGGAGTTCTTAAAAAAAACTATTATTATTTTTCAATAAATGGTACCACTTGTTATATATAGAAACATTACAGTTTATATCAGCACAAGCCGAACACTTTAACTGTGCATTACTTTCGTGAAAAAAAAAGATCCTTTTTTAGAAAATGTTCACTTTTTCTTAATCTTTTTCAATGAGGACAGAATATTACGATTGACAATTACTAGCACAAACAGGGCAGCGTTTCTGTTAGTTCTGTATAATTCTCTCATAGCAAGTGTTGAGGTAAATTTATGTTCAAGTTAGAAGTTTGTTATATAATTTCAAATTTGTTCTGGAATAACTCCTTTAGAGATTCTTCAAAGTAAAAAAAATAAGATCTTTAACATAAACGTGCATGGTATTTTATTGCGTGTTTAGAAACTTCTTTGTTTTATAATGAATTTTGTAGGGTTATGAACTTGTGATTTGTGTTTATGAGTTAATAGGAACAGTCTTTGTATCGAACACATATATATATACACATGTGTTTCACTAAACTGTTCATTCAATAAGTCACATAAAACTGGTTTTACGTATTTTGAATTTAGATATAATGAACACTGTCTGTGAAGTGTTTTTTTATCAGCTATAATGTCTCATGAATACTGTTCTATCGTTTTGAAGAAAAGTCTGTAATATTTGGCATTATATTTTAAATGAATAATTCAGTACGTGAAGAAGGACCCGGTCTTGAACCCAGGACCTTTGACGAGCACAATAAGAAGCTTTATGAGCGAATATTGAGAGAAAGACGGCATGAAGTCTTAGATAACTTAACTGTAGAGCATTGGCCCTAATAGCCAGAGGTCCTTGGCTCAAGACTCGGTCCTGGAGTCTCTTATTGACTTTTTAATTTAAATTTTAATAAGATTGTGGATGTGAAGACTTGTAACCTGATATAATGTCTCGTAAAGATTCTTGTGGCGCGGCCCTAAAAGAAATGGTTCGATTATTTACGTTCCTCTAATAAGATACATCATAAGTAAAGTTGTTTCTTCAACATGCCTGCGGCTTTTGTACATCCTTCCTCTCCACTGAGTCGTTCTCCGTGATTGGTTGTGTATGTTCGGAGTTCAAGGAGAGGGCTGAGGTATGCGATACACGGAAATGTTTAACTCACATGTGTGTAAATAGGTACAACTATCGATACGTGTATAACACTAGAAGTTCATATATCCGGATACGTGGAGTATTAGTTTCCTGTATAACACCAAATTTGTTGTATCCGGATACGTGGAGTATTAGTTTCCTGTATAACACCAAAATTTGTTGTATCCGGATACGTGGAGTATTAGTTTCCTGTATAACACTAGAAGTTCATATATCCGGATACGTGTAGTATTAGTTCCCTGTATAACACTAGAAGTTCATATATCCGGATACGTGGAGTATTAGTTCCTTGTATAACACCAGAATTTGTTGTATCCGGATACGTGGAGTATTAGTTTCCTGTATAACACCAGAATTTGCTGTATCCGGATACGTGGAGTATTAGTTCCCTGTATAACACTAGAAGTTCATATATCTGGATACGTGTAGTATTAGTTTCCTGTATAACACTAGAAGTTGATGTATCCGGATACGTGTAGTATTAGTTCCCTGTATAACACTAGAAGTTCATATATCCGGATACGTGTAGTATTAGTTCCCTGTATAACACTAGAAGTTCATATATCCGGATACGTGAAGTATTAGTTCCCTGTATAACACCAGAAGTTCATATATCCGGGTGTGAATTACAAGCAAGTTTGTGTTACAACAAATCGAATAAATTTGTTATCCCAATAAACACTGTAACGTTAGTAATACTTATATATTAGTGACGGGCCGGGTATGACCTAAGTGTTAGCGTACTCCAAGTTTGAATCCTAGGGTTTATGATTCGAGTCTCAATTTCTGCAAAATGCACTCCGCACATTGGCTCCGTGGTTGTGCTATAAGAGTGTCAGTCAAAACTCACAATTCGGTCAGGCAAAAGTATCCCAAGAGTTGGCGGCGGATGCTGCTAACTAGCGGGCTTCTTTCTAGTCTATCAGCATAGCACAGCTTTGCGCGAAACTTCAAAACTAAGAAGAATTATTTATTACTGATTTACACTACTGTGTCAATGGAGGAATACTTACCAGAACAATTATAAAGAAAAGGGGTGGTCAAAAATTACGGTCAGTAACATCCAGAGAAGTCTGTTTTCGTTTGGAAACACTTAAATAAGGGGGACCATTTGTTATTCCAGTCGTAAGTGTAGGTCAATGTTCTAATAAGTAGAAAACCACTGGAACTTATAATTCGAACAAGTGCTATTGGCCCGGTAGTAGTGCTATGACAAGCCGGGTTCGAACCTGTGCTATATCACAAAATATTCTCTGCATTTCAAGCGGGGAATGCGTTATAAAAGTGACAATCAATCCTTTAGTGTGGTCGGTGGGTAGTAGAGTGTTGTTGACTGGCTGTCTTCAGTCTGGTCAGATGACCAACATTACGAAAGGTGGCAGACGACCTTAGTAGCTTTACTAAATACAAGATACACATAAATATAATGTGTTCACCATGCAACCCCCTCCCCCCTGTAGATGTATTTACACTGAAAAGTTTAACACTATTCTATTAAAACTATTACAGGCATGATACTAATGTCTAATAACGAGTGAATTAACAATAGATTTTGCTAATGAGACAATCGGACTTCACTCAAATATTACAACTGCAAAGTTTCATTTCAAAAATTTAGTTTTACCACTTCCCGTTAGAGGGCGTATTTGAAAGATACATATTTAGAACTTGATATGTTTAAGCCTATCGCAGTGTCTTTTATGTTCCTTAATGATTGGCTAAGAACAAAGTATATATATATATATTTGGGCTTTCTTCTTTCAGCCTATCTACCAGAACCATGAGATACAGAAGGAGGTTACCAAGACAACAATATCGTCTACTCGACACCCACCTCAGCCCACCAGTGGTACCAACGAGCATTTGTCGGAATTAGATTCGTTGTTGGAAGATCTCAACTCTGCTCGTCTCACATCTTCTCCAGACAATAAAGGCAGTTATTCCATCTATCTCTTTATATCTTGCGTTATTTGTGTGTCTGCTTGATTATCTCGAGAAAAGGCATGTACTAGTTTTCTAGAAAAACTAGACAAAGATAACCAGAACTGGTACCAGTTTGTTAGAAAAACTAGACAGTTGTGGGACTAATGATTTTAAAACACATAAGAAACTGGATCTCCTTGACTAAACGAACCTTATAGACTGTGCTGTAAAAAGAGAAGTGTTCTTGATATTATCTGGCGTTAGAAAGTTTAAAAAATATGTCTGTAGTTCTGGTTATCTTTGTCTAGTTTTTCTAGAAAACTAGTACCAGTTCTGGTTATCTTTGTCTAGTTTTTCTAGAAAACTAGTACCAGTTCTGGTTATCTTTGTCTAGTTTTTCTAACAAA